TGCTGGGAGGCGGCAGGATGCGGGAGCTGTCTCACCACTGCAGTTGGATCATTATTCGGTGTGATTTCCGTCAAACAAAACGGGGAGCCGGGATGAGGGAGGACGGAGGGAGACAGTCCGTACCTTTTTGTTATCCACCACTTTATGGATGTAGATGGTCGCTTGGGTGTACTCGCGCAAATCCCGCTGCTGTTGGCATAACAGCCCTTCTCTGCACTCCGGACAGAGCTCTGGGGAGGCACAAAGGAAAAACACATTGAACTGCTTCAGCTCCTCGGGATACACCTGCCCAACGTCCTTCCCCGCTGATCCGGAGCGGATCACGTAACCAGGGGCATCTGCCAAGCTCCGTGTTCCCCACCGATCCCCTTCGATCCAGCAAAAGAGCCGTTTCCCAGGGAGGTGGCACCAATCAGGGAAAGAACAGGGCTCAGAGGGTGGCAAAAGGGTCACTCACGGGGCTCGGAGGTGTACAGCACGCCCTCGGGGCCGGCCCCGGCCGCTTGGCTCCGGGTGATTTTGATGACGTGATCCACGACGAAGAGTTTTTGAATCCTCTCCCACTCGCTGGGCCATATCAGAGCTATACTGTGCAAAGGAACAAGAACGTGCTTTAGGACATGGAAAAAGCCGAGCTGGGAGCTCCTCAACAGCCTCTCCCTTTTCCTTTTGAATCCAGTAACGAAAGAAAAAGCTACAAAAAATAATCAATCCGTAACTCCGGCTACACGGGAGGGCCTGGATGACCAAGATAAGAGGGACACAGTGGCGTGTTATTAGCGACGCCGTCGTGCTCCAGCTGTGCCGCAGGGAGGACGGAGGAGGAGAGGAGTGGAAGATCTGCTCCTTTTAGTTCTGCATCGTTGCAGAAGCAACGCTGCGGAGCACCAACTCCTCCAACCCAACGTCCTGCGCGCCGCGGGCGAGTCTCACGGAAAGCAAATCCTACGGAAGCTGGATGTTCCTACGCTCCGGTCAAATCCAGAGTCGTTTATTGTTAGGAATTAGCCAAGCTGAAGTAAGATCCCTTTTTTTTTTCCCCTCTCTGATCCAGCATCTTTTGACAATTTAGGTCTTGCCTCGCATGAAGGCTGAAGTGGGCCTCCGGGAACGCTCCCCCGAGGCTCGGGAGAGACGAAGAGAAGAAACTCACAGTTTGGAATCTTCTTTGGTCATGGAAGCGTAGGTGAACATGAGGCCGCCGTGGGGACAGAGGAGAACGCTGTTTCCAACGGAGGACACGGGGCTGCAGCGCGTCGGCCTCCTGCGCGGGGGGAAAGGGGAAGCGGTTTGCGGAGTTGGGTCGGGTTATTCCACAAAAACGTTCCGACAGGGAATATTAAACCACCAGAAACGAGGAAATCAGAGCTGCGTTCCTACACACTGCAAAATTACTCCTATCTGGAGGAGATTTCCATCTCCTCCTACCACCAGCGGCCTGGCGAAACAAGGATTGACCTTTGCCTATAGGATACAGCTCCAGAGAGATGGAAAAAAAAATCCTAATCAGGTTACAATCTAATCCGACCATCTGGTTAAGACATGGTAAACAAGGAAATTCGGTTTCTTACAACATATTACAACTGATTTCAGTCCTGCACATAAAAAATAATCAGCTTCTGCGGAAGCAAACCGCAGGGAACACGCACGGGGCTCGAAAGCAAAATCATTAACTACAGCCCCGCTGCTGGGAAAAGAAAAAAAAGGGAATAAGAAGCATGGAAAAATCTCAGTTACCTGACAAATTTCCTCCATTCTTCCACAAAGAACTGCGAAACGATGTACAGCTCATCCGTCTCCTGGAGGTGAAAAGAGAAGGGAAAAATCATTAAAAAAAAAAAAAAGGATCTTTTTGAATTAATCCAACAACAGAGAAGCGATGACTGCTCCGCAATTCCTGCAGCGCCCGTTCCCTTCCAGACCTCAGCGTTCTTACCATGACAACTCCATCCAAGCGCGCTGGGAAAGCCAAGCAAAAGAATTTGGGATCAAGTACTAAGCGCTTACGTTACTAATCTCGTGTTTATTACAAAGTTAATTGCGTTTTTAAGATCCAATTACCTTTAATTCCCAGCAGGAAATGGTCATTTCCCCTGGAGCAGCTAAGGCTCCGGGATCTCTCCGGCCAGCTACTCCGGGTCTAAAGCAGGATGTGTCCCTGCACCCCCGTGGGGTGGGGTGAGATCACCCCAACCTGTTTCATTTGCTTCACCCATCAAATTCCAGAAGCTTCTCCTTTTGGTAGCAGCACGGATTCAAAACTGCACCGAAACCCTGAGGTTTTTGGATAAATCCTCATTTTTCCGGTCCCGACTGACGTGCCAGGAGATAACCTGCTCCTGGCCAAGACACCACTCAGATCCTAAAAGCCAGGTGACAAAATCATTTCCGTGCTCCCCTATCCTCACCACTTTCCCCAACACGGATTTAAGGGCTGACTCCATCTTTCTGCGGGAAAATTCAGCGTGCCTGAGGAATATATAGAATTTTTTCATTTCCCCTTCATCTCCTCTAGATCAAACCGCTCCGCTTATTTTCTTCCCTGAACCTCAATTGCTTTGGATGAGAAAAACTCAAAATTTAATGCTTGAGGGAAAGCTCCTCAGCTCTTTTTTTACCAGGATCTCTTGGAAAATTCAAAGAGAGAAGAGAATATAGCCCCACTGCCTGGATGGACCCTCGTATTCCGAGCTGACCCATAGTGACGGGCTCCAGCTTTCCCTTCCCTCCTCCAGCTCCAAAAGCAGACCCTACCCTTAAATTCCGTCGATAGGACCTGGTAGCTCTCCGGCTCGGCACACGCCGTTTCCCATTTAAACGCTTTTGGGGCTCCCCAATTTCGGAGCCACGGATCCGTGCTGACTTTGCTGGAGAAGGCACCGGAGAGCCACCGGCTGCCCTCGCACGCAGGAGCGCCCGAGGCAGACAGCTGCCAAAGCAGCTTGGCAGGATCTAAGGAGTCAATCATTAATCGGCGCCGCGGCGCGGAGCCAACGGCTTGTGCCATTGCTTTTCAGCCTCCTCGGAGTCCCAGGAAGGTCCTGGAGAGCTGTACTGGGGAGAAGGTGGTGCGAGAGGTCCCAGTACGAGGGGTCTCGCACGACCGTCGCTTCCATTTACGGGGTTTCAGCGTTTAGGGAAGCTCTCCCGGGCTCTCGGGATGCAGGAGGATGCCTCCACCGGCACGGCCGCGCCGTTTCCGTCCTTGCAGGAGCGGCTGGAACCACAGCAGCAATATTGTCGCCGCTTATCCAGCCGACTCGGGGGCCGGCGACAGCTCTGTTGGCACACGAGCCACTCGCGCGGATCTTCCGCGGGGCTCCGCGCCAGCGCCGCTCATCGGGGGAAATCACACCTCGGCACGGCGCACGCGGAAGCGCCGCTGGCACAGGCTTCCCGGCTCGGACGGAGCGAACGATTAGCTGGCAGTTTCTCTCACGGGAGAAATAAAATTGCGCAGGGAGAGGGATAAAAGCTAATAAAAACGAGGGATACAAGCTAATAAAGACCTCCCCCGAGCCCGGCTACGTCCCCCTGGGCATCTCCCTTCCCGTACCTGAGGCCAGCTGCCCAGGCAAGGTCTGCATTTATCGTGAAACAGGTTCTGGAGCGAAGTCTTCTGCTCGCTGGCCATCATCTTGTGCAGAGCTTCGTTTTCCTCCCCTTCCCGCTCCAAAATCTGCACGGAACAGTTAATTACAGCACAGTTTCAGTTCCCAGCTGCTATTCAAAGGTGACGTTACTTCCCTCCGCCGCACCGGCTCGCGTTAAAAAGAAAACCAGAAACACGGCGGCGTCTTTACAGGCAACAAAAGGGGAACGTTATGTGGAGTACCTTGCATTGGGAACAGCACTCTCTGTTATTCGGGAATTCGGGGGCCTTTGGGAAATATTGCTTGAGTTTCTCCCAGGCTTCCTTCGAAACCACCCTCCGGTCGTTTTCGGATATGCACAGGTCACCTGCAAGGAGAGAGGCAAGAGGAGGGCTTTGCTCAGCGACGTCTTGCAGCTGCAGATGGAAGAGATTCCAGGGTATAGACGTGGGGGAAGACAGGCAGGCGCTTATCGGTCGACACCACGTCAGCGAAAAAAGGAGCGTAACTAACACACAAAGTCACCTTCAACTTGATCATTTCCTCGTTTAGACAGGAAAAAAAAAAAACAACACACAAACATGACTTTAATTCATTTAAACGTCCTTTAGATTTCCAAGTTCGTGAACCCAAGCACTGATCGAACACAGCGGCGAAGAGGTGCAAGGACAAGCCGAGGAGGGCACAGGGCTACTGTTTTCTGATCTGGGCTACCATTTTGATGGCAACTCGTTTTACTGCTGTGGACTAACCCCAAGGCACAGGAGTCAGGTGCTTTCTGAACCTTCAAAAAAAACCCAATTATCACTCTATCATCTCAGATGGCTTCACGTGCCCTATCCAAGGACCTCAAAATCCGGACAGGACAGATTTTGCACCCTCCATGTGCTCCAGGGAGTAACTGAGGTGCCAAGATACGATGGAATATTTACCACCTACCCCCCAGACATCGCCTGCCATGCTATTTATCCTGACGCTCACGCAGCTCAAAAAAAACCCCAAACTCCAAAGAACGGTCCTGTGCGAAGCATTTGTCATTTCAGCAACAGCCGCAGCGGAACGGTCGCGCTCACGCGTTTGGACACGACACGCACACGTGACGACACGCGTTCCGGTGGACAAACAAGGCTTGGGAAAGCTGGAGAAGGTTGAACGCTCGGGGATCCCACCAGCTGGTGCTGACCCTTTGTGGGGTTGATGATTGCCAAAGAGGGGAAAAAAAACCCCACACCCACATCTCCCCACGAGGCAGCAGCTGGGAAAGGCAGGGGCCGGCTGCGTGGCGCGCGGTCGCAGCGGGAATTAAGAGGAACGTGGCAAGAGCGGGAGGCGAAGCGGGATTATTCGAGCCTCAACGTGGATTTCAGCAGCAAGAGGGAAGCGAAACGGCAGCTGCGGAGTCGTGGTGCCCAGCAAAGGGCACGATACCGTTTTATCTGCTTCCCTACAGCCTGAAGAGCTGCAGGAAGCAAAAATGGGGAGAAAAAGGCTCCTTCCTCCCCTCCCTCCGGCAGCTCTTTCACATTCCAAGCAGCTCCTCAGCCTCACGGAGCCGTCGGCTTTCCTCGCTCCAGCCAAGCCTGGATTTCTGCCAGCCCCAAAAGGGGGAAAAAAAAAAATAAAACAACAACAAAAAAAAGCAACGCTCCCCTCCTGCTTTTCCTCTAATAAACAAAAATCAGGGCTGGACGGCTTCGACGCAGCACTTGGCCACTCGTGCTTCATCGAGCGGCTCAGCTTTATCTTCCGAGGAGGGAGGACCGGGGTGTTTTCCGGAGCCAGCCAGGAAGGCTGGGGGGAATAAAACCCAACAAGGAGCTCGTAAAACAAAGTGCCTCGACGCCGCGTGATTAATGGGAACGGATTAATACGCCGGTGAGCGAAAAGGGTGGAAAAATCAGCCGTGGGTGTGCGGGGAAGAAGCGCTTTGCCATCTGGAAGATGATGATCCCGACCGCTGCTGCCCCTGCTCCCCCCTCCCGCTGTCCCAGGACATGTTCTGGGCAGGGATAGCAAAGAGGTTTGAAGTTGGCATCTGGAAAAAACGACGGCATCGGGGTCAGGCAGTTACCAGAGAGCGAGAAATT